TCGGAAGGAGTTTTTGTATCTGACAAATTTGTTGATCGCTTGTGAAGCTTGAGCAGAGGCAGTGGACAATGGGCACGTAGTGGTTGTGCTCTTCGTCGACTTCTCGACATACCCCACTTGAGGCTATCACAAAAGCTGAGCTCATGCGGCGTACCAGGCAGCGACCTTCACTGTGTTTCTGCATTCTTGTAGGGAAGAGCAGTGTGTACGTGTGGGTCGTATCTTATCCTTTAGCGAAGCGGTCCTTAACGATATCCCACAGGGCTCGGTTCTTGGACCGATGATGTCCATCTACGTAAACGATCTCCCTGGAGAGCTTGGGGTATCATCCTCATTGTTTGCTGATGACCTTAAGCTATGGAATGTGGTAAATGTCCCTGAGATTCTGAGGTCATACAGCATGCCCTGGACAGACTCTAGGACTGGTCTACTTTATGGCTACTACCCATTAATCTGGTTAGTGTTCGGTCCTTCGTATAAGAGCAACTTTCCCACCTTCGAGATACGTGCTCGGTGGGGTCGAACTCCCCCTTGTCTCCAACCGGGTAAACCTAAGCGTCGTTCATTCCTCGTCTCTGCATTCTGTTGACAACTGGAAGAACGCCGCAAGTAGGGGTTTCAGAATGTTGCCGTTAGTACGCCGTCCTTTCGGGGTCTTAATTGCCGACATAATTGTGAAGCTGTTCTCAGCATTCGTTCGGCGCCATCTGGAATACTGCGTCCAGGCTTGCGCGCCCTGCCTTGTTCGGGACAAAATGGAGCTTGAGAGGGTTTTGAGAGTAGGTACCAAATTGGTCGAGGGGTTACGAGGGCAATCGTACCCCGAGCGTCTACTTAGCTTGGGTATGTGTTCAACGCACTACCGACGGCTTCGAGGAGACCTAATCCTTACTTACCGCATTTTAACAGAGAAGGTTGGACTGGACTTGAGCTGGATATTTAGCCCGGCTAGGTTACCTTGTCATCGTGGTCATTCCATGAAGCTGCACAAGTCGCCTTCCGACCGGATCAGAGCGGAAACTCGGTTATCGCGTGCGTCATCGAGTGCTGGAACTAGTTTCCAGAAAGTGTAGTCAGTGAACCTAGGATTAAGGGTTTCGAGCGCCAGTTAGACGCTCTTGGTGGCAACTCGAAACCTTTCCCTTCTCCTGTTTATATTCATCTTCTAAGTTTGAGTTCATATTCTGTCATTCTCTTTATTCTTTGGTGTTATCCTTTATTTAAGTGAGACTTCTTCGTTTTTGTCCCATTTTCTTCTTACGTCTTTCACTTCACGTGAGCTACACAGGAGGGACTGCTAATGCAGGGAATGTGGGCAGTAATTGGTTGACCAGGTTGTGGTTTGGGTGTTTCCTTTTCGATCGTAGCTCGTAGCAGGTTGTCATTTCCTAGATTAGCGATGCGCTCAAGAGGAAACACTCAATTTACTTTACTATCTTTCCAGTTCCATTTTTAACTGAATCTTCGTTCAATGCCGCATTACTCTAGGAACACCCATGGGAATTTGAACTTGGATTGATTTTTGTCAGTCGTCATAGTATGTTGATTTGCTGACGATAAGGAGCGATTTTTCATCGGGTGTGCTGGGTGGGATATGTCGTTCCCTGAATTCTTGTGAATACTCAAATCAACTCCTGTCACTCTGATAACCCTACGGTCACCAATCCGATTTCTCTCCGTTTCCGGATTTAAATCAGTCTGTCGAAAATAAATGCATTTTATGAGTTGGCAACCAATTTTTAAGATGCCATAAGAAATTCCAATGTCGTTGTTAGCATTACTTTGGTCTTGGTCTTAAGTGTCGAGCTGGCTGTTTCAGATCTAATGTGTAACGCTTGATTTGTAAAAATCAACGTAGTTACGCTGTCAAGTGTAACAGGCGCGCGTTTCCAGAGGTGGTTGCGTTATTTTTAGTCTATTATTTGTTAGCAGCTTGTGAGCCTCCGCTTACCATGCCCAGGTGACGTCAGAGTGGATATGAAATGACGATGTTGTGGACTTAACTGAGCATATCGAACCACCGATTGCCACTAGTATTGCTTCCGATACTGTCCGCAACATGCCTGATGCTACATTTACCAGTACCCATTTTGACTGGCAGCCTCCCTGGTGAACATAATTCCCGCACCGGAAGTAGTGGAACCTGAAGATATTTGCCGTGAAATCGCGTTTCAGGGAAAATTATCTCTAGTCTGATTAACCAACGACAAACAGAAGACGTGTATCCTGAAATGATTCTAGTAGGGACGGAAGTACATCTGATGGGCTAAAATGAGAAAACACGATTGCAACGGTTATCACTCAACGCATAGTGAAACCCAGGCGATCAGAATCTGCCGTTTTCTTTTAGATTTATCAACACTTCGTAGCACCTCATAACTTCCTGTCTCAACTATCTGTTCAAAAAGGAACACTCTCCTAACCTTTTAATCCCACTTGAACTTGATCTTGGCGTATCGTGAGGCGATCGGTCTCCTTTGTATTTAGTATTATTATTATGAACTTTCAGGTAATCTTTGGGTAACAATCACGCGCTTCTTTGAGAAGTCCCTTCTGTACTGCTCCTTATCTTTTGGCTGAGAAGGACCGATAGTATGCCCCATTTTTAAGCAACGTGACAAACACCTTCCTGAGAACTATAGACCGATCAGTTTGACTGGTGTACCAGTCATATTACCGGAGAAACTGGTAAGCGATGCCTTGGAAGCCTAGTTGGGGACGTTCGACTTGATCGTTGCATCTTAGCACGGCTTTCGTATAGGCTATTTCTGCTTGGGAATGCTGGGCTAACGCAATAGATCGGAGTGAGACAATGGATGTTCTTTTCATTGACTTTGCCAAAGCGTTCCATACCGCCCCACATTCACGCCTGTTGTGTAAGCTCTGGCCGTATGGTTTTTCCAGGTAGGCATCTTCATGCAAAAGGACATTTCTAGAAGGTAGGAGTATATGCGCTCGGGCGTGCTGGAGCTTCTCTCTTCAACAGCTGGTTCTCAGTGGTATTCCGTATGTTAATGACTTGTTTGGGGCTCTGGGTGTGTCGTCCCTCGTGTTTGCAAATGATTTTGAGGTTTAAGGCACTGCCAGTTACCCAGACGACTCCCAATTTCTGCAGCCTGTGATTGGTCTACTTTGTGACTACTACCCATAAATCTTTCCAGTTGCTCAGTTTCGCATCTTGTGAATAGCGGTCCATCAACACGTTACTTTCTTGGGGGTAATGAAGGGAAGTCTGCCGATGTGATCTACATCAATTTCAACAAAGCGTTCGACAAGGTGAACCATGAGCTGCTTCTAAAGCTGAGAGTGTGTAGTGTTAGTGCATCTGCACCCGTTGATCCAGGACTTTCTCGTTGGACGAAAGGGGAGGGTACAAGTCGATAGCCACCTGACAGATTGGTATCCTTCGACCAGTGGCGTACCCCAAGGCACAGTGCTGGGGCTTACATTGTTCCTGATTTATATCAACGACCTACCTCAGCTTCTTCGGCCGCCGTGTGCTCAGTTTGCAGACGACCTGATGATATGGAGAGTGATAAGCAGACCCGACGACTGCGACTTACTACAACAAGACCTAAACCGTCTTTCCGTGTGGTATGCAGAAGTCCGCCTCCCGATCAACGCATCCATGTCGGCATTCATGAGCCTGATGAAGTGTGGTAGCGGCGGTACTTACGCTCCTGCCGGTCAGCTACTCTACCCCACACTTTCTGTGAAGGACCTAGAAGTACTCTCACGTTACGACTTGAAGTCCGTAGCCAACACGAACGAGCTAAATCGTAACGGACTACGCATACTCTGTGCACTCAAACGTAATCTCTGCATGTGGTCTGGAGATTGCCACTTGCCTCTTCTGCTCCATCATCAGACCAGTGCTAGAGTACCGCTCGCCCGCCTATTGCCCGACCACGCGTTGAGATGTAGAAGATTGAACGGGCTACTAAGCTCATCCCGAGTTTGCGATGCTTGCCGTACGAGGACAGATGCGAGAGACTGGGACTGTTCACCCTAGCATACCGTCGGTTACGTGTCGACCTCATCATTACCTACCGGATTCTAGCTGTACGCGACTTCCCCACGCTTAGGCCATTACTCCACTTGCGACCGTCTTGCAGCACACGCAGACATCAATACAACCTTGTGGTTCCAACTCTGAAGTAAGTTCTCCATCACCTGTGCTTGGGACGGTGAGTGATAAATGTCTGGAACGTTTTGCCGGAACATAAAGCGAACTCAGTGCTGTTATTCAAACGATCATTGGATGTGCATTTCTCAGATATTAGATTTCGTGAACGAGTGCGCACAGGCATCTCGCATTTTTGAGACCTTATCTACGGTGGGTTAAAGGATTTTTAATGACTAATTGGGAACGTGAAAACGATCAGCGTATTGACAAGTTTTGAATCATAGTTTGATGGAGTTGTACAGGTTCAAATTTCTGCTTTCTCCCACAATACAGTATTCAATACGCGTATCCGAACAGGCGGACTTAGATGTCACGATGTCATCGAACCTTAAGTTGAGCTGAAATTGGACAGAAACTGCGCACAAGGGATACAGAATAGTGTATTTAGAACCCTAAAAGGGGAAATGTTTGTTAAAGTTTGCAGACTTTCATCAGACCCCACTTGGAATACTGCGCCAAAGCTTGCCCCTTTATTTAGCGCGGGACAGAATGACAGTGGAGCGGATTTTGAAGATGGACACCAAGTTGGTGCGTGGGCTGATACGTGTACCAAATCCCGAGTGATTGTTTAAGTAGCATCTTTTTTGTCACACTTTCGGTGTCACCTGGGCGATTTAATCCTTACCTATCGCATCTTGTCGGGTCTGATTGGTCCGTACTTATCTCAACTTTCTCTTCCGGCTCGATTTCAGACTCTTTGAGGATACCCAATAAACTACACAAACCTCGGTCCCATCGGGTGGGTGCCGATATCCGGTTATCGCATAGCGCGATTGACTCTTGGAATGCCCCGCCTGAGGATGTAGTATTGGCACCGACGGTTAAGGAGTTTGAACACCGTTTTGATACCCTCAATTTACAACTACAACTTCTGCTTCACGTTTTAGCCTTTGTTGCGATTTTACAGATCTCTTCTCTTTTCTTGACTTTTATGCTTAGTTAACTTTCTCTGCTGTTTTATTACGGTTTCTTCTTCCTCTCCTTCCTTTCTTTCTTGTTCATTTTGTTCCATGTGTCCGGTCCAGTGGGGATGGTTTTTGCAGGATACGTGGATATCAATTGGTTGGCCGCGGTGAGATACATGCGTGCCGATTGTACATCTCAGAAGACAAATCTATTCACCGAAACCTCCCCCGGATCAACGGCAATTTCGCAATGGAACATCCATGGCATTCTCCAACTGTTCCGTCCCACTTGAACGCTCGTACTAACAGAAGTCTTCCTGTTTTCTTTTTCTGTCTAGTCCTCCCCTCATCTATGATCGTTGAGCGCCAAAGGAAATCCTGCAATATGACCGTATCTGACTTGGGCATTTACTGTAGTCGAAGAGCAACTGGTCGTTCGTGGTTGGATTAGCGTACTTCCTCTTTCAACCTTTGCCGATGTGGTTCTGCCACAAAGTTTCAACTGCGAGCGAGTAGACGTCGACGTTTGTGCTCATGTTGTTATCGATGACCTGTGATTTTCACATTCCTTCATGTGTTTCGTACAGTCACTTGGCGGAACGTAGCATCGCATCGGGCGCCACCAGTGCGGCCTTTCGGGCTATGAGATTTCTGATGCAGGTACGTTTTCTGCCACACTGATTTCCGATCCACTTATCACAATTCAGGTTGACCACGGTTCGTCACACGGGTACAAAATCTCTGTATTTCTTTGTTTATGTGGAGTGAAAACCCGCAAGCACACCAAGTTGGATTAGTGGAATCATTTGCACTCTACGCTTCCCTGCTTGTTAAGCTACGGCTTCTACATCGCTTGAATTCATGGAAGCATACAAGCTGTTAGTCAGAGGGGGTTGTCAATCGCATGATTTACCGGCAATTTGAATACCTCACACACATCTGACGATTGCACTCGGATCTGCGGGTGAGCTGGTTATACGTTCTTAAACCTCTTTTTAATCCTGCCTGAAATATCGATCGTCTCAGTTTGCTTCCAGTGCCATAATCGGGGAACATGGGTGATGCGGTGATGAGTGGAGTGTGTCCTCCTTGACTGAAACGCTTAATCAGACGATCCCGGGGTGTGTTTAAGCAGTTTATGAGTCACCTTTGTGTACCATCTCTGTTAGGTCGTGTTGTGTACTGTGATGTGGCCACTGCGATTCCGGGGACATTACGGTGACCAGAGGCATCTGTTAGCAGTGGTCAGTAAGGCTCCTTTTCCGTCTTTAATTGATGGTTGTGCTCACGTAATCTCAGTTAGATGCTGTCTCGTGTCAATCTGTCGTTTATGTATTTTATCTTACCCGCTTTTTGATGAACTGCGACACGTAGCCTCAATTAGAGCCGCCATTTTTATTGCATTCGGAAAACACATACCTACGATAGTCAATATCCTTTTCTACAAATCTTCCTGCTATTTTTGCAACGCATGCACTTCTGGTGAAAAAACTATGCTCGGAAATATGTGAAATCGTTTCCCTGCAAGCCTTTGATTTGGTGATGTAATTGACTCGGGCTATGTACTGCCTGGTTAATCCTAGATCTGATAGGATTGACATCAGCAAGGTGCCAGCACATACGGAATCAAACGGAATCACATCATGCGGTGCTGTTCAGCACTTCGGAGAAGTGCAACACCTAGGCATGGCCCAATGCATTACACGCCTACAAGTTTCCTTGTTGGTTACAGGTACATCCGCTGCAAGGCTTTCGTGCAGCAGATAACCTTTTGCCAAGTGAGCGAGCGAGAAATCCGGATAATTGCCGTACGTAGCTACAGAGGGTGCGCGCCACTTCTTAGCTTTCACGGCTTCGTCGTCACCAACTGTGAGGTGTTTGGGTAGACGTCTGAAACTTGAAACTTGATTCGTTTTTGTGGTATACCCATAGTTGTTGTGGTCTCAGTGTCCGCACGGGCGTCGTACGATTTCTCAACACTGCGCGCCCCGCCGAAATCATCTGGATTTTTGAGAATAAACAGTACCTGTCCTGTAAATCGCATCCACTTGCATTGAGTTACTTGAGGTTGGTAAGCGGTGCTTCCTACTAATCGAATGGTGAGATGCTAGGCAAAACGCGTGAAATTCATTTCGCATAATCACTGGCTAATAATGGTGCTGACATGGATAGCCTCATCTTTCTGTACGTTGCTACGCGATAGTCAATGTCCGATATAGCTCAGAGAATCAAGTGGGCACCGAGAATCTGTTTTTACCGTGTGATTTTAGCATAACTTATGGCAAACAATGTATAAGTGGCAAATTAAGTTATAATTATACCGTGTTTTCCACTATAATTCGGTGGTAGGATCGCGGTTGCAAGGGGAGACGAAACTGGGTGCAGAAAGATAACGGTATCTACAAATTCCATGACACTGATATTTAAACCCTTGCTTTGCCGATGAATGCCTCCAACACCGTAACTGGAGGACCAGGAGATTAAGCATGTCCGGCCTAGAACCATGACTACACACTTACTTCAGGAAACAAACAGTCGGGAAGCACCATGATAGAATACGCAGATGAAAGATGCTTTTTAGTGACTAGCTTTTTTAGGTATCCGTAAAACTTGGTCAATGTGACAACAGAGAACCATGATCTCAGTGATAACTGTTACTGGCGCTTGAACCACTGGCTGTGCAGGAAATACCGACAGATGTTGTTCCAAATGCCAGTGTGCTTCCGTCACGTTAGCGCCTGTCAGGATTCGGACACGACTGTTCTTACTTTCTTCAAACGACACATCCATCATGTGTGGCCGCTGGCGCACTGCTTTCCTCACGGGAGTTACAACAGGTCCCAAGGTATGACCAACAGTAAGTATGCTTAACATACGTCGGATCTATGCCATTAAGCGACGATGATGAAGTCTACACACGCTGCTTCTTGTGAGAACAATGCCGAGTGGTCTGCACGTTTGCTTTGCAACCATAAGGTCACCGGTTCGAATCCGCGTAGGGGTGGGCGTCCTCGCGGTATACTCAGTCCGCGCGCTACTGGTGGTGGTTGCGCGGCAGCGAAGCGCCGTTACGGCGTACAGCTGACACGTTATTTATTTGTTATTTACGGCGTAGATTTCAAGCGATCACAACCGGCATTCTAGACATACAGGCAACACTCATAAACACACTCGCTACTGCGCACTGGATGTATCAACGCTAATGTCTTGCCTGGTCAGGAAGCAATATGTCTGCGTTCTGAGTGGAGCATCAGCGCATGTCACCTCCTAGAGGCGGACACCTCGCATCCTTCGCCGTCTCTACAGTTGATAGGTATGTGACCTACCTTCAGATAAATGTAGCATCCCTCTTCGCATTTTATAAACTTTCATCTACTTGGAATTTCTGAAGCCAGAAACCAGGCACAAGGCCATGACATGTTCACTAGCACATGCCAAATATACTATTCTCGATGGTCACATTAACTGATATAGAGGATAATTCTACGATCATTTCGTTTATCTTCTACGGACTGTTGTCGAAGTACATTTGTGGAGGCGATTTGGCCGACTTTACTTCTTGCAACTCAAGTCCTCGCTACAACGGAATCCGCCAAATATTTGAAATCTACCTCCCTTCCATCATGAGTGATGGAGTTGGCTACTCTTACCAATCTGGTCTGCAGAGCTGTTGGTAACACGCGAACTATCTGCTCAATGGTTGCAATGACATTCGACTCAATACTGAAATTTTTCTATGAGTGAGCAGTGTAGCTATTTTCTATTTTCAGAGACAACTTAGACAAATCTCCTTGGTTATTTGACCCTCGGTTAATGATCTAGCCACTACATGACTTTCCCCTGATAACTCGCGCAAAACATCTCTTTCTCTGTCATTGGCCTCGGCAAGTGGTAATATCATACACTCTGATGGCCTCTTTGATGCGAACGCAAAATTCACATCACAATTAAAATACTCATTATCCACTCTTGAACACCCGGCTTTCGACAAAGTATTCGATTTGCTTAACGAATTTCCAATAAGTAGGTGACTTAGCATCGCAGTACTCTATTTCAACCTTTGACAGATCTGGCGGTGTACGCGTCGTCGTTACATGGTGCTGCTTGAGACCAAGGTTAGTGAGGAGCATGGACTGACTTCTATAGACCCATAAGTTGGAGTTTTGGAGCCGAATATCGATCACCTCCGATGTCGCGACATCGGAGTGCTCGTGTGAGTCTCAAAGATGTCCGGTAGGCTATAAGGCTCTTCGCGCGTTGATTTCGTATTCTGAGTCAGCCAAATACCACAACCGCGCTTGCTGCTCTCTTTCTCACACCGATATAGGGCCACACCAGGCATTGCTCCCGGACACTCCCAGACAGTCGCCTGATTGTCTTCCGAATATAACTTGTTGGACACAACCAAGAAAAACGGTACGGACGGTTGAGTTGTTGGCTCACAATAGGCTTAGAAGTGAAGCTGACACGGAGATCAGCTGCAAAGTAAGTTTTTACGTTGGCGTTGAAAAGCCTTCGGGTGCAGTTGCTCATTTGTTCCCCGAGCTGGGAAATTTGCAAACGTTTCACCGCCATGCGAGGCGGCATCATCAGTGCGTTGGGATGTGGAGTGTAATCTCGCGGATTGAATTGTCGATCCGTGATCGGCGTGCACGTGACTTTTCGAAAGTGACGGCCTCGATCTGTGCCTCGTGATCTTTACCCATTTCCCCGAGGCGGAGGTCGTCGCTCGGGTTGTTCCTATTCAAGCGGCGTCTCATAATTTCTCTAAGTTCTTTCCGTCGGAAGGGTTGGTAAACTTCGTCAATCTCGATATGCATGTTGATCGAGTCTTTTGTTGAGAACCACGCTTCCAGGAACTCCATTGCTCTTCTTGTTTCACCACGTGCCAGGACTTCTGTTTTGGCCCAATCAAGGCTGTGTTCTTTTTCATCCGCGTGTGCTGAGACTAGCGATGATGCATAGTGTCTTTTGCATTCTCTTTTGTGCTCTTGTAATCGTGTTGATAATTTTCTACCTGTTTGGCCAACCTAGTCCTTTTCGCAGTTTCTAAAACTTAGTCTATATACAACATTACTTTGTTCATGAGCTTCCAGTTTCTCTTTCGGTTTCGACTGACTTTTCCCCAATGTAGCAGTTGGTTTGTGTGCTACGATGAGGTGATGTTGTTCGAATAGTCTTGCTGCCATTTCGGATATATTCTTCAAATAAGGTAAAACAACGCGTCTCTCCGTCGTTGGTGTAGACTGTCTGTTTGGTTTGTTGTGGTTCAGCCACCTTCGGATGATGCTTCGCGGGTATCCGTTGAGTTGGAAACATTTAAATAGATGCTTCTCTTCTTTTTGCTTTGCGTCCACGGTACTGCAGTGTATTTGCACTCTACCAAATAGTGTCCGCACACAGCTTACTTTGTGACATTTCGGGTGGTTCCTGTTAAATTTCAGAATTTTGTCCGTATGTGTCCATTTTCTGTAAACTGATGTTTGCAGCCTCCCTTCTATGGTTCTGGTTACTAATACATCCAGGAAAGGCAGTTGGTTTTCCTTCTCCATTTCCATCGTAAACCGGATGTCTTCAATGGCGTTGTTCAATAGCTGCTGTGCGACTGTAACTTGATTGTGCTTGGTGATCACAAAAGTGTCGTCAGCCTGTCGGACCCGCAGTTTCGAATTAATGAGTGGAAGTACATCTCCCTCCATCTCCGCGATGAGTTCCGATATAGGTGATCCCATTGGCGCGTCTTTCAATTGCTCGTAGATCTTGCCGTTGCAATAGAAGTAGGTTGACAGACACAGCTGCAGTAGCTTGCATACGGTTTCGGTCATTAGGTTCCCGATTGGTTGTTCACTGCTATTTAGGCGTTCTGTGATGACTGTTGTTGCCATTTGTAAATTTACAGATGTTAAGAGAGCAGTCACGTCGAAAGATATCATTGTTTCATCATCATCTATTTGCAGGTCTTTGAGCTTTTGTAGAAATTGCTGGGCATTATTAATGGAATATTGCGACCCACAGGTCAGATGTTTTAGTCGTCTCCACATTTCTTTCGTCAAGTTG